CAACTGAAAGCCATGTTTGCCCTTAATCTGTGCTTTCTATATAACAAAAGGAAAACAAGAAGATGTAGTAGAATCACTTCAATACAGTTATTTAGGAACAGAGGTACATTAGGTGTATCAGAATAGAAACAAGTTGAAAGTTTATCAAGTTCCTTCATTAGGATCTAAGCACAGAATACTGTTGGTAACACAACCCATAATCGAACTTATTAGATATCAGGCACGATACGAAAAAAATAACAGAGGAACCCATTTTCATGTTGGTTAGCAGCATAATACCTGCTAAAACACCAAGTCTTGATGGTTGACAACTACGAAGACCTTTCATTCTCATTCGCATGGAAATTGATACATTAGAAGTAATAATCGATAATAATGTGCTAAATCATGTAGAACTGCATTATCTGCCGACTTCGATGTAACACGATCTTCAGAATAAATGTCCCTCATCGGCCAACCTACTAGAGGCAAGAGATAAAAGAGCGGCCCAACATAGCGGCTAACTTTATGACGAAATATTTATAGGTTTCACATAGCCATTTTGTAGTGTCTTAGAGTTAATGAGGAGTTTTTCTTTATATCTTAACAACACTAATCAAGTCCTCCATACTCTTCATCACAAATGTCAATGTCTGAATAATAATAAGTAGTAAGACTGATCATCGCGACATGCAAGCTGATTAAGATGTTGTATTTTGATGGTCCAAAAATTTGAACCTAAATGCCGATTCGAATAACAATGGTATTACGCTGTAGCGTAAGTTTTCGACATTGGATGCTGACCAGATTAGTTTTAGTAGACTCATCTAGCTGAAGGCGCTCGGTCATGCATCCGTACCAGATCACATGCGGTAACTCTGTGCTCAACATCTACCGCAATCGCTAGCCAGATTAGATCAGACAATTCCGATATATTGGCAATCGTCAAATACAACTTCTGATCTCCTCGACTCTGTCTTTTGATTTCTCTTGGTGGGTACGGGTTATATTAGAAGGTGTTGCTGATAAAAGCATTGTCAAACACCGAATACCTGTGCCATCTTCAACGCACTTAAAATATGGTAACAGACACCAATGTATAACGGATGGAACACCACTTCCTTAAATACAGAAACGGAATTATCTTGAACTGTAATTCCTATCTCAAAAATAACTTCCTATGTCATTTGATCCGTTCCCAAAGTCAACATGTATTTCGGTTGCCTTTTAGAGATCTTAAATTCTTTTGCTTAGATATGTTTTGCATATTGAGGATGAACAGTATGTGACCACACCTGGAATCTTGCGTCAGAAAAATAAGTCGATAACTTACTAAAGATCTCGGAAAAAAATAGGCGTATTTAACGTGCGAGGACAATGTTTTGGACGTGTTTTATAAACTTCCGTACATTCAAACCTTCTTCACTTATTTTATCGTAGGAAAAGAGCTGAGTTCACATTGTTACTTAGTATTTCAGAAAATGACTTCAGCGTCACCACATCTTGTCTTTTGGATTTCTTTAATGACAGTGAACTCTGTGGCCATTAAAACAGCTTAAGAAGCTTTAGCTGAATAAAAATTCACTGAGATTTCTTACCGTCGAGTGATCACCAACAGGACCTTTTAACCAGAGATGTGTTATCATGTTCATCAGTGAATCATTTCAATCCGAATCTAGGTCTCCAATGGAAACTAGATACCAAAATACATAAGACAAACGACTGAACTGGCCTCCTTATTACTAGATACTGAAAAAATATCCTTACTGCTTGTCCAAGTAGAACAGCTAGTTCGTCTGCACAAAAAAATAACAGCCATCAACCCATATTATACATGAAAACATGTATCCATACTTAATTTGACTTCTCGCACCCAAAAACAAACAAAAATGAGAGTTCATATATTGCAAATTGCCTAGACTCAACTTGTTTGCTCACATTATCTAAAGATCTCTCCTCAAGGTTACTTATGTTGCGGCTTCGACTAACTCATTATCCGCGTTGCTCATACTTCACGAGTTCTTTCAGTTATATTAGCAAAGAACTGTTCCATCCTGATCATTTGCACGTAAAAGCGATAACAAATCTACTTATTGGTGTTCATGATAATCTAGGATTGCCATGGGGACTGACAATTGCGACCACTGCTATTCTAGTACGAACAGTTGTAGCCGTTCCATTGTATATCTACGCTGAGAGGAACCAAGCTAAAGTTTCACATATTGCCATTGAATGTCAACAAAACCGACAGATGATGCAAGCGAAACTTAGTAATTCTGAGTGTTATCGTAATTTGAGTAATAAGAGAAAATTAGTGCTTGAAAATCAACTGGTAGGGTTCTTTGAATAAATACATACTTCAAGTTCAGACGTGTCTTCATTAAAACATGCGAAAAAAATGGATGTCACCCATTGAAATCGTCAGTTACAGGAATAATCCAAATCCCATTGTGGCTCACATTCACATTCTCCATCAGATACTTGAGTGGATTCCAACTGTATCCGCAATCCGATTTCAATTATCGTAAGTCTTGTGACTTATTGGTCTTTAATAGTTTGTCACTTGTGTACTCGAAAACACTCTTATCTTAGAACATGTGGGAGCACAATGTGCTATTCCCAGTAGGTCTCACGCGCTAGATATGACGTTTTATAAATCAATATTATTTTACGCAGAACGTTCGTCAACCACAAATTTTTGTTTGATTTAAACCTTTCTCAGAGCCATTTCTTCTAGGATACTATAAAAGCAAGGATTCCTCTACGCACTAAAAGTTCCTTAAGTAAATATTACTAATTTTCACAGCATGTTACATTGTATAAGGAAGTAATATTTCAGCAAACGCAATACATGCAAACTTCGGGAGTTATTAGCAATCGTATCCCAAAGATTAGGCATAACGAGTCCTCAGCATCCCATAATTACTTGGTTTGCAATCATTGTTGGTAAAAGTACGGACCAGCATTTAATAACAGGCTGTGTTCTCGAAAAAAATTGAAGATATGTATCAATGCTTCAATTCCTAGTCCCAAGTTACATATGAATGTTTATCACCATATGTTTGTGGTTCAGTGAAGTAAGAATCATAAGTTTACCTATAAAGCCATCTACTTGTGAGCTAGTTTCATAAAGGCTCGTCAGTTTACTGTTACACAGAGCAATGTTCAGTGTAACTGTACGATCTCATCAGGTAGTGATTAAAATTTCGATGATATCGACAACGATTTTAATTTGCAACAGGCTACTGTTCTCGCTTCTGTCAGTTATTAATAGTTGTATTCTTAAGGTTGCTCGTGATTCAATTCTCCATCGTTGGTAAAAAGACAAACCAATATAGCAGCGCAGGTTTACATCTCCTAAAATAAGATCACTCGTAAAAGTGAGACAAAACATCCGGACTACAAAATCAAGTGAATAAGTTTTGTTTCGACTGATTTCTTAATGGTGTTTTTTATTTCACTTAATAGTGATTGCCGATCCGTCTCTCAACGTTCCGTGCTCAAGTTTCCTGCTTCCCTCCATATGTACGCTAGCCGGATTGGCAAATGTAGAACTGGCGTGTTTAAGACGACCTCTGTTCTTCAATCCGAAATCTAATTATGTAATACCAGATCCTTTACCTTATAATGCTGTGCGGTTTGTTGGTTGGGTTGGAAATCTCGCTCTTTTCGCGTGTTGCAGCTTTTTTCCAAAAGTAGGTTGGTTACATTGTGTTAATATCCTAGGCATTTGTGATTTATTGGTGTACATCTTCAATTCACCAACTATGTATACATCTTTTGATAATGCACCCTTGTTTACGAAGACTGCTTGGTTTATGGACCATACCCCATGAAGGACATTATCCGTATAAAGTTCTACTTAACTCGATGTATCATCGCTATAACATATCAAAATGGTTGCAAAATAAAAAGTCATAAGTAACGATTAGTTACAATTTTTTATTATTTGTGTCGCAAGTAGCTGGCTATACACTTCTGACTAACTTATTTTTATGTATTATTCATTAGTACTCCTAAAAGTGGTACCAGGAATCACAAGATAAATAAAACATACGTATAGGAAATAATTTTGTTGAAATCTTCATCTCCAAACTAAAGAAAACTTAACATGCTAATAATGCTGAGATAGTTGTAAAAGTTAAACGTAATAAAAGGATTATCATAAAACTTGTTGGTCTGATTGTAAACTTCGTATAACATCACATAATCCAAATTGAAGTGGCATCTAGTTATATCTACCAGATTTCTATTAGTCGGTGACGAATTGAATCATCAAGATAAAAGAATAGAATAACCTAGAAAACCAGGTTAGAAATGTTGAATCAAAATTAGTGCTATAGCCAGTGAATACGCTGGCGTCTTCAATGAACCACTGCGATAAGTTTACGGAATATCTTAGTTGTAAAGGCTTTATTCTCATAACAATGAAGTGTGAGGAAACCAATTTTAATGAACATGGGTAGTAATACCATAAAAGATACAATGTTAAGTGATGCGGCACATGCTACTGAAAAAATTTCGGAGAAATAGACAAAAACCTATTGTATGTACATCTCTCTCAAAACGAATCGAAGAACCTATTAAAGCATGAGATTTGTTCGAAAACTGCCTCAGTTCCTTCGTGAGATCAAGGTTAGCAGAATTACTAAGAATATGTAGATCAGGAACTACTGTCTAATAGTGGGGATCTCCGTCTGATGAGTGGAAGGTAGTTGAATTCAGACTAATTTAAACGTTACCTCAAATCAGACTTGCTATGTCGTACTGCTTACAAATTATTTATAGCATGGTGTGATCAAAGTTATCATCTGCAGCGATCCGTTTATCTACGTCTCTGTTTAATTAGTTTATGGACAGCTTAAAACTATAAACCGGAACGTTAAATGTCTGCCTATTACCTATTTCCAACTTTGAAATAATTAAAAACTACCGTCAGCTATTTCAATAATGGTATATTGTTGAAAAACACTTAAAAACAAAACTGTACATTTCTCCTTCCATTTTACAATCCAGATGTGTTAAATTAATTCTCCACACCGAGAAATAATAACGGGTTCTTTGACCTTACCAGATTTCGATCCAACGGACTACAAAACCATTTAAAAATTTATTTAGTACAATATGGAAATCGAACATGTTATACAATAACTTTTTAAAAAGACGTGTTACCGAGCAATTGAATCGCATGCAGAAATGGAGACCATTTCCAAATAAATTACAGGAAACATCCGCAGTAAGGTACAGTGAGAACTGATAAATACCCTTTATGTTGATACAGTAAAACTATTCTATACACCATAAATCTGACGTAGTAGATATATGGTAGTCTAACATTAAGCGGCTAGTAGTTAAAAAAGAAATGTATCAACGGCAAATGCAACTAACATTTTTGGGAATATTTTAAGCGTGTTAGTGCATTTGAATTTCTTACTTTATCGAAACGGTGCCTAAAACTAATCACCAACATTAAATAAATTATGTCAATAATTGTTAAGGAGATAAGAACTAACCTCCATCTTTTTTACGACATTTTGTCCATCCACTACTCGACCAAAAACAACATGTTTGCCATCAAGCCTACAAAAAGACGTTTAAATAATTTAATAAGTGTCTGAGACCGTTTGTACATTTATAAACAGAAAATTTTGAGTCACTAAAAATAGGTTTTGTTGTTGAGGTTTTATGAATATTCATTTAATTGTAGTGAAGTTCAAAATCAAGAGAATACTAAGATCGTTTTGAAATGTTGATAATTTGGGGTCCTATTACTCTGGATAACATCCTTCAACTTGAGGTTCATGAGAAGAAAGACATTAAACGTAGCATGAGGCAATAAAGTTATTTGGTGTATGAAAACCATATCAATAATTCTGTGGCTGCACGTTGGATGTAGCAAAATCGTTCTAAAACGTCAGCCCCAGGTTTTCCTGTATGCCTTATGAATGACCACCTTGCAATCCCTTTACTGAGGAATCCTAACGCCATGATAGAATGAAAGTTAGTTTACGACTTGGAATATCCTTGGTTAGCATCTCTTTGCACAGGACTAATAACAGTATCTTAAAATCTACAAACCCAAATGGTTTGAGATGTAATTTCAAGTGCATTTTCTGTTTGTGTTTCAAATGACTAGTAACATTTAAGTTATATCGCTCGATATATAACAAACGTCACTTCACAGTGCTGTTTTTCGCTTTGGCAATAGGACATGTCAGTCAGTCAGTCAGCTACAACGTACGACCAGGCACATTTATGCATCGGTCCAAGCTGCCATACCTCATTAACACAACAAGATGGACACCGGATTCATAAAAGTAGTTAATTCAGAGGTGGTAGTATATAAAAGAAACATTGTAATAAGGATATAGTACAGGAAGAAAGAATTAGTTCGTAGAAAGAAAGATATGAAGCGATTTCAATTTCCTAGTTGAAAGGAAGACAGAGTGTATGTCACCAAGAGTCTCCAACCATTGGTTACGATAGTCACGCGGACCCCAACCAAGAAGTCTGGATCTACCAACATGGCTCAGACTAGAAGTTAGTGACTTCAGGCACTGATGCCACGTTTTGGTTTGGCCGCCCCTAACTTTCTTCCAACCATCCCCTACCCCGGTTAGCATTGCACGTCGTGGTAATCGGTGTTCAGGCATACGTAATACGTGGCGCAACCATCTCAGTCGATGAAGATTCACAACCTCATTAACTGATTTACCATCATTCCCTAATAGCCTACGTCTAACCTCACTATTACTTACCCGGTGATCCCAGCAGACGCCAGCAATATTTCTAAGGCACCTGTGGTCAAATACTAGTAGCTTAAGAGTGTTTTCTACTCTTAAGGGCCATGTTTCGCTGCCGTAAATTAAAACAGAACGGACTGCCGCGTAGTATACTCGTCCTTTTATTGATAGACGGATATCTCGCCTTCGCCATAGGTGACGTAAGTTGGCAAAAGCCAGACGAGCTTTTCGAATCCGTGCTGAGATTTCGTCAGACACCAACCCATTAGGGCTGATCAGACTTCCAAGATAAGTGAAGTTGTCAACGCGTTCAACTACTTCACTCCCTATACTTAGTTCAGGTGTTGACGCAGACCAGTCCTGAAGCAGCAGCTTGCGTTTAGAGGGAGAGAAGCGCATTCCAAACATTCTGGTATTGTTGCTTAGTGCTACCAAAAGACTGCATTTTATCAGCGTCTTCACCAAACAGGACTATATCATTGCGTATTCTAAGTCGATAAACGGACATCGTGGTAGGAGATCAATTCCCGAAAATTCAGTCAACGAAAACATTGTTCCCATCAGTTGGTCTATGATGAAATTGAACAAAAATGGAGATAGTGGACAGTCTTGACGGACACCACTTGAGGTTGCAAAGACAGATGACAGCTCGCCATAATTAATAGTGTTCTAGTAAAGAACCTTCACGAGGTTTATGTACTTCTGAGGTACGCCTTTCAATGACAGACACTGCCACAGAATCTCGCGGTCTACGGAGTCAAATGCTGCTTTTAAGTCAAGAAAGACCACAATTGTCGGACGCCGGTAAGTATTGAAAAGAGCAAGAACAAAGATTCTAGCAGAATAGCATGAATTCATTTTACTTCGTAGGTTCTCGTCAGCTGCTTACAACCTGTGATATTTAAAAATCATAATTGCATAATGGATTTAAATTGCTTACAGAATATTGTAAATATACACCTAAGTATGTCTGTGTTCTAGAATCTGACGAATGGTGAATATGTGGTCGATGCAGGCGCGACCAGGTCTGAAGCCAGCTTGATTCTCTCGTGTCTGCAGTTCACGAGTCTTAGTTAAGCGTTTGATAATTATCGAGGCTAGTATCTTAGATACTATATTAGTTAAACTAATCCCTCTATGGTTGTCACAGGATGATTTTGACCCTTTCTTATATATTGGGACGATAAGTGATTGTGACCAGTTAGATGGGATAACGTCTAACTCCCAGGTCTTAGCTAAAATATTAGTCAACTTAATCGCTAAAATTGGACCACCATCCTTAAAGACATCTGGATCAGTTGCCCTTCCTCGTTTCAGATTAACTATAGCCTTTTGAACTTCTGCTAAAGTTGGGGGACCTACTTCAATGTTCCATTCACACTGTCTGGGAATGGAGGGTAGTTGTAGAGTAGCTGGAGGCCGGCTGAAATGTTCCGCCCATCGTTCTAAACGTCTGGACTTCGAGCAGATGAGGGTGTCGTCTTTTTCCGAAATAGTCTCACACTTGGCTTATTAGTTCCAGTTTCTTTTATTAGTCTGTAGAGCTGTCTTGTGTTCCCTATAGCCGCCGCTTTTTCTATCTCTTTTGCTTTCGTTGCCCACCACTGCTCACGGTCGTTCCTTAGACTTTTGCTTAACCTAAATCTGATTTGTTGTCGATGTTCATCGTGTTCAGAGCCTGATGGGATGAGTTTACGAGAATCCATCAGTGCAATAGACCTAGAGGAAATCCATTGGTTCTTTGTAACCCTGTGGTTTAAATCACTGATAGATGTCACTGCTGTTTCCACAGCTGTTTGTATAGCTTTCTAAACAACATCAGGGTCAGCCTCGTTTTCAGAACTATCTAAGTGTGACCCCAATTGTTCCTGGAACCTACTTTTGGTTTACTCGCTGCTCAGTTCAGTTCTAATGGGTCTTTTTACTGTGGCTTTTTTGCGTTCAGTGAGGTGCAAGCGGATGCGTGACCGTATTAGGGCGTGGTCGGAGTCCAAGCAGGTACTCCAGAATGAGCGACAATCTTCTACCGACCCTCTCCAACGATGACTGATGGCAACATGGTCTATTTGAGTCCATCGTTGGTATGTACATATTTCTGGTACTTCTTAGATTATCACATACCACTTACGAGTCATACTTAATACAAATATATGATAGAAGAAATCTACTTTTTAACTATCCTCAATGGAATCATTTTTAACAAACAACACAAGCTAAGAAGCGACATCAGAAAAACGATGTCACTCCAGCTGATTATGGAGAATGGGGATATAAATGAGGCTCGTCGATATATATAAAAGCTTACCAATCGCATTTTGTTGTGCAAATGAAGAACTGAGATCCATTTGTATTTGGTCCAGAATTCGCCATGGAAAGAACACCTAAGAGAAATAATGCAACTGATGTGAGACAAGCAATAAAGCCCATATAAAATGACCACATAAGCACAGAGATACACAACCAGGTAGTCTACACCTACCAACATGGCTCAGCCCACTTGTCAGTGACTTCATGGGTTTGTGCCATGTTTTGGTCTGGCTGCCCCTAGCTTTCTCCCAACTTACTCTTATGCCATTGAATATCGTACGTCGGGGCAGTCGGTGGTTGGGCATACGTAACACGTCCCAGCCATCCCAACTGATGAAGTTTCACTACGTCATCAATTGGTTTGCCATCCTTACCCAGTGCCCGTTTCCTAACAACTGCGTTACTTACTCGATGGTCCCAGGATATACGAGCGATGTTTCGAAGACACCTATGATCAAATACTAGTAACCTACGGATATCTTCTACTCTTACCGACCATGTTTCACTGCCATAAAGTAGGACGGAACGAACTGCTACGCAGTAGGCTAGTCGAGTCTTCTGTATCCGTGCTGAGATTTCGTCACACACCAGACCACAAGGGCTGATGAGACTTCCAAGATAAGTGAAGCGATCGACACGCTCGATTGCTTCACTCCCTATCATTAGTTCGGGTGTCGATGCAATTTAGATGAGGAAAGTGTTATCACTAAAAGCATGTCTACGATAAAGTTAAACAAGAATGGGGAGAATGAACAGTCCTGACGAACACCACTTGAGGTGATCAATTCTGATGACAGTTCGCTATAAGCTCTCACTCTACCAGTTGTGTGCAAATGGAGAGCCTTTACAAGTTTAATGTACTTCTTTGGTACTCCTTTCAGTGACAAACAATGCCATAGAACCACACGAATGCCGCCTTAAGGTCGAGAAATACTACGATTGTGGGGCGTCTGAATGTGTGTCTATGTTCTAGGACCTGACGTAGTGTGAATATCTGATCTATACAACCACCTCCAGGTCGAAAATCAGCCTGATTTTCTCTAGTCTGTTCTTCACGAGCTTTGGTTAGGCGTCGAAGTATTATTGAAGCTAATATTTTAGACACTATATTTGTCAAACTGATTCCTCTGTGATTGTCACAAGAGGACTTTTGTCCTTTCTTATAGACTGGCACAATCAGTGATTGAGATCAGTCAGATGGGATTACGTTCAGTTCCTAGATTCTACCTAAGACCTCAGTCAATGTCACTGCTAATACTGGACAACCATCCTTAAAAATCTCAGGGGTAAACTTGTCAGGGCCTGCTGCTCTCCCTCGCTTCAGATTTCCTATAGCTTTTTCAGCTTCGTAAAGAGTCGAAGAACCTACATTAACTTGCCATTCAGGTAGACTGGAGATCGTGGGAAACCGAAGTATGGCTGAAGGCCAGTTGAACTGATCCGTAAAGTGTTCTGCCCATCGATCCAATCTCCTGCATTGAGAATGTATAATATGTCCGAGAGATGGTGCAACACAGTGGCTAGAGACGTTATCAGATGTGGCTCAAAATAGAAGCCAGTAGCGATCCTGCTGTAAACTTCTTTTACTTTCTTCATAAAAAGTGGTTGTAACTTCCTTAACTGAAAGAATTCTTTCTGGTGGTACCTTTCCGTTTCCTCCATTATTATCATTGTTATTTCACTTCCATACGCTAACCTGTGGTCGTTATTGTTCTCTCTATGTTTTTCTTATACGCACCTTACATTCTTTTTCGCTTCCCATTTTCATTGTTTTGTGTGGCGCATATATATCTGGTGCCCCCTTGTACCAATATTTATGTGTTCAAATAAAAAGGCAAACCAAGATATGGTATCAATACACAAAGTACATGCCAGGTAATATCTAATATATGTAAATAAACTGGGCTGGTAGGCTCTTTGAAGAAATGCTAGGCAGATGGTTATTAGACTCGTATTTCATTATGAACAACATACAAACCAAAAACAGATGATTTAGTTGATGTCAAAACCTCATACGAGTTAGATTAGAGAAGCGTTTATCAACAGTTCTACATTTTTTATATTGAACATTTTAAAAAAGGTAGGAACACATTAATAGGACCAAAAGATAAACACACTCACCGAACCCTTCATGTCGGAGTTGGAAGTTTTCATCATCGAATTTACGTCCATATATTGATTTGCCACCGGTCCCATCCCCTTTTACAAAATCGCCTCCTTGACACATCTGATAAGACACGCATTATCAAGGATATAGTATAAAATCTGAAATATTTCATTCATTTAGAGGTGAATAAATTAAAACAAAACAATCAACTAATGGGTTTTGATGTTGATGAGTAACGATGTTGAAAAGCAACTTTAATATAGGCTTGCGTTGAAAACAGGCTACCTCCCGTACTACGATCTAAAGTCTGAGGCATTTGAACTAAGAGACTTTACTGTCAACTAAGAATTAGTTTTCCCCAAGTTTTTTTTAACTTTACACATTAATGTCGGTAATATGCAAGATGTCTGGATTTATCTCACATCAACAGCTGTTTCCAGCCTGATTGTTTTACATAAATATCTGTCAATTTCCTTTAAGAATGCGAAAATTACGCAAAGGCATTTAAATACATTAGGTCATGGATACGAACTGTGGTATAACTCGATGGAAACAACAATTGTGATAACCGAATCCACGTTCTCCTGTACACAAGGCACGGAAGTTCTCAGCAGTTCTCGGGACAATATCTGACCGAAGCTCCATCACTATACGACCAGCATCTCCGTTTCCAATTCGAATATCGAAGAATACCCGAGGAAGATTTCGTTTTTGTTTTTTGGTTCGCATTTCTTCGTCACTCTGTGAAAATTGAGTACATAAGTAAAGGTAAAATTGGTATACACGTTAAACTGTAATGATATGCAGAAATACTTGTAGTAGTATCATAATAGTTCTAAAATATAACAGTGCTTGAATTGATTAGAAACAAACACTAAGTAGGAAAAAGGACTGAAACTTAGATAACTATCAACCTTTTATGCAGACAGAATGGCGATTTTCTCCAAGTCATCTGAAATGTATGAAGCTACATGCGTGGAAAGAATCAGTATGATATAATAGCGCGTATTTTAAGTTCTTTTTCTAGTAATCGTACCACCTAATGAAAACTGACTTTAGAACTGTATTCGATAATTTTGATATTTGATTATAATTTCTTGAAAAAGCTTAGACCAGATTGCCAGGTAAAACGTTGGATTTACTCCAAACCCATTCACTGAGATTTTAAAAATACATTCTTCCTCTTTAATGTCTCACATCAACTCGGCGCCCAAATATTGTGAAACTATTTGATCAAATCTATACAAAAGTTCTTATAAAAAACCAAGAACGGTTTTGAAAATTGTCTTAGTTACTGAAATAATCCGACACTTTTACTGGAGATCATTTTCGAGAAAATCGAAAAGATCGTCAAGCGTTATACTGATGTGATAAATTACCAATGAATCATATTGGTTAACAGTATATATTCATCGTTGCACTTGTGTTATTAAGCACAGCAATCCATACGAAAAGCCTTGAAAAAAAATTAATAATACTCTATTGATCAGCTTACTCTGTAAGAAAAAACCTAAAGTTCGGAAACCAAACATGTTGATTACATACAATATTACAAGTAATAATATCCTAATCAACATGGTTGGAGTGAACATTTTCAATTCCTACTTGTGTTTATCAAGTAAAATTACTCAGTAAACAGAGTAGAGTGGAAAATTTTGAATATAATTCGTGGATACTTAACACCACGTATTGGTAAAATCAAACTTATTAGAAGGCTTCACGAACTCCGATCATACTTAGAAACCGTTCAATAAACTTAAAAAGCATTAAGATATATTCGTTATATATATATATATATATATATATATATATATTACTGGATTTCAGTTGCTTTGTGAGTGACTGATGAAGAATATAGTTAGTATGACATAGCGCGTTTGTGCTGTTGCGAAGTGTAGCATTTCGAACTAATGATATGTCTATGAGATTTTCCATGCGTAGATTACATCATAAACAATTTAATTAAATTTTTTTTAAACTTACCAAGTCTTCAACATTTTCTGCAGAATCTGATGGGTTGACGATATCAGGTTCATCCAGTTTTCGTCCTTCTAATGGAGCACTGCCATATTTCTTTAACCAATTCTCGTCCGACCAGACTTAAAATGTGAATTTCAATATAGAAATATGTAGGGAACATTTTATTGAAATCATAATCCATGGGGATATTTATATATAAATCTTACTAAACGTTGGAGAGTCAGCTCACCCTCTCGAAATGTCCTCACATGGCCACGCGTATACAGCCACTGCCAGGGAAGTTCTACTTACTAATTGTGTGTAGTTTACGAAATAAAGAGAACGAAGAACGAATGTCCGGTGCTTTAACCGGGTTGATGGGTACGGAGATCCACTCAGAAGAGATGGCAAACCCTGATTCCCAACCAGTGGTGCACATGGGCTCCAGGATCCTGAGGGAACAAATGGTGTATGAGCCTATTGTTCGTCACCGACCACCATGGGACTGCATCTCCTAACGTCGCCCCACTACCTAGTGGATTAGACCTTCAGGTCAAATGTTCGAATGCGGCTCCCTAAGAAGATCATCTGCTTCCGTTTGGGCACAAAGGTAGTATTACAGCCCTCACAATAATCAATGGTAACTACACCTGGAAAGCTTCCTCTTGCTTCGACGCTCAGACAACTCTTAAAATTCATATGATAACATACGTTTTTATTTCTTTCATACCACACACTAATGCAGATCGGACAACACATAGGATTGGTTAAGTTTTTAGAGAGTATTAATTTCAATATCTGTTACCTATCACAGACCCGTATTCAATACTCTAGTGAGGTACCACAAACCCATTCTCCATCTGTCGTTTCGAAAAGCTTGTTTCTCATATGTTTGCCCGGGGATCCTGTGGCATTTTCGTATGGTCTTGCTGGTGTCGGTGTCGCACTAAGCACTAGGGCTGAAGCAGCACTAATCAATTGGATCCCCATTAACAGTTGGTCATGTGCTGTTACACTACAAAGTTTCATCAAAGTGCGAAGAAATTGGTGTGAGAAACGATATCTTTTCGTTATCTCCGCCTACGCTCCGACAGATTGCAGCCTGGATGCAATCAAGGATGAATTCCACCACCAGTTAACTGTTCTTCTTCAGAAAGTGCGTTCGACAGATATTGTAGTGCTAGTCAGAGACTTGAATGCTCAGGTCGGGCGTCTAGGCACAGAAGAGAGTCGTTTAGGTGGCCGATGGGGAATTGTTGGTCGCAGGACAGATAACGGGGACCGTCTACTGAAACTGTGCACAGACCACAACCTGTTTCTGGCTAGCACTAACTTCCGGCACAGTCATCGCCGATGTGCCACCTGGCGTGGTTGTGTACAAGACTGCTGCTCCTTTTGGAGTATCTATTTGGACTCCGATCATGCCCTGGTCTGCGCCAATCTCACCTTACTTTTCAATGGACAACGAAGTGACCGCCACCAACGGATTGATGTCAGCAAGTTGGTTGCGGCTTATGTTGCAACTATATATCAAACCGAGCTAGGTCCAAGGTTAGCTACCATACCATCAGAAAGTATAGATGAGCACTGGTTGCAATCGCATGACGCCATGAAAATGGCGATTTAAGTCGCTTGTGAATTCGCGAAACTTCACCCTTATAAGCACTGGGTTTCTTCAGGCTCCTTACAACTCACTGAAACCCGACGGTATACTCCGAGTGACCGTGAAATTGACCATGAACGAAGACTGTTACGCAATTAAATTAGGCAAAGCTTGCGTAAGGACCGAGAAGCCTGGTGGTCGGAGCGTGACAATTAGTTGGGAGCAGCAGCTGCATCTGGTAACTGCCGGAAGCTCTTCCGAGCCACTGGCAGCAAAAAGTCTGGTGTGAGCGAAACAATCTGTGAAGATGACGGGATGCCAATCACTAGCGTCCACCGACGTCCTGGACGATGGGCAGAGTTTTTCGAGAGACAGTTCAGCTGATCTGTTGCTGCGGCAAAATTGATCAAACTGCTCTGCTCTCCATACCCTGTGACGACTGATCCACCTAACAAGGCCGGAGTCCTCAAAGAACCCCAAATCTTGAAGCGCTACAAATCACCAGGTTCAGATGACTAACCTCCTGCCCCATTTTAAAGATGATAGTGACTTTCTGGTTAAGGAACTGCAACGTTGTTTAGAAAGGTCTGGGAGCTAGAGAGTGTACCAACGTCATGGAATGAGTCGATAGTTATTTCTATCTTTAAGCAGGGTTCTGCAACAACTATCGGGGGATAATTCTACCTCCGATCGCATCCGAACTGTTGGCTTCTACCATACTTCGTAGGTTGTTCAAAAACCGAGAACGATTAGCTCGCAGGTAGCAGGCTGGTTTTCGTTCTGGTCGAGGATGTATTGATCATATCTTCACCCTCCGCCAAATGTTAGAACACCGTCATACTTATCACAGGCCAACAATCATAATGCTTCTTGACATTAGGGCTGCCTTCGATTCGTTGGACAGGACTGTTCTCTGGGATTGTCTATTGAAGAAGGGTGTGCCTGAGAAGTTTATCAACATCCTAAAGGCTCTATATGCAAACACCTCAGGCAGAGTGAGGGCATACAACCACCTCTCTCCATTGTTCCACTCAAGCAGTGGGGTTAGGCAGAATTGCTTAATCTCACCATCCCTCCTCAACATTGCTATGGATCACGTTCTAGAAACAGCTCTGATGGATGTAAGTAATGGCGGTGTGGATCTGTTTACTGGAGAAAGACTTCTCGACCTTGAGTATGTGGATGATATTGTCTTACTGTGCGATAATGCCAAAGCCATGCAATCCGCACTTAATCAGTTAGCAATCAGTGTCCGTAGGTATGGTATGTGCTTTGCACCTTCGAAATGCAAAGTACTTCTAGAAGACTGGCAGAATTCTCATCCTGTACTCACCCTGGATGGTGAGCAGATAGAAGTAGTCGAGAAGTTCGTGTATCTAGGTAGCAGCATAAGAGCACGTATATTGAAAGCCAGAGCGGCTTTTGTCAATCTGGGCCATCTTTGGCGCCTTTGTGATGTTAGTCTGGCTGTAAAAGGTCGGACCTACAACGCGTCGGTGAGAGCAGTTCTGCCCGATGCCTATGAAGCCTAGCGTCCCCGAGTTGAAGATGTTAGACAACCCTGTGTTCGATCATCGTTGTCTCCGAAGTATTGCTGATATCCAGTGGCAACACCATGTTAGTAATGCAGAGGTTCGGCATCATGTGTTCGGGCGTAGCGACGATAATTCAATTGATGTCATCATCCTGAAACAGCGACTTTGATGGCTGGAACAAGTCTTACGAATGTCATCCAGGAGAATTCCATATCGTGCATTACTTGCCGACACCTGGACCGGTTGGAAAAGCGGAAAGGTGGTCAGTGTATGACACAGTGTCCCGGTGTGAAAGAAAGCTGTACAGGATCGGCTCCTACTGATCATTCATGACACCCTGATTGAGGTCCAGAGATGGTACAACACAGTGGCTTGGGATGTTATCAGACATGGCTCAGAATCGAAGCCAGTGGCGATCCTGCTGTAACCTTCTTTTACTTTTTTCATAAAAGTAAACGTAACTTCTTTAACTGAATGAGTTCTTCCCGGATATGTTTTTGCTAACTGAACTGTTTCTCCCATTGTTATCATTATTTCACTCTCATACACTAATTTTTCTTCGTTGTAGTTCTTTTATTATACGCACTTTGCATTCTCTTTCTCTTCATAACCTCGTTGTTATTGTGTGGCATATATGTAATTGATGCCCCATTGGACCGATGTTTATGTGTTCAAATAAATAAATAAATACACAGTATAGGCTTGAGACAGTGTGATCAATTTGCAGCAATTTTATCACACCAACAAACAGTAATGTCTGACGAGGTGAAATTATTTGAGGGTGACCGTTCTCATATGAATAAATAAGACTAATGACTGAAAACATTCAAGACTCTAACACTTTGAAGAAAGTTGGTTATAGACGTAGAAATCAACAAATGTTATGCCAGAATTTACCAACTGTTACACAAAAGGTTGGCAATTTAAACTAAGTCATTGGAGACGTAACAATATAAAGGTATAATACGAACAAGCTACACATAACTGGAAGTACACTATATGGCTGACTGATTGTCTAAATAAAATGTGATTTAAATTATCTTGAAATTGAATAGTCTCAAAAATTTCGCATCACGACAATAATAATTGAAAAAAAAATATTACCAGGTCGACTCCAACCCTCCCGTATGCGTACTGGTCTTGCCACATTAACACGGATGGTACGCCCGAATATTTCACTTTCATTCTATAAGAAAGATTGAGAAGACATTATAATGGTTTCACCAAAGAGTAGTTTATCTCTTTGATAGGAAATCAAGTAAAAGTACAATAGCAATAAGCCAATCAAAATATTCAAAGACAAACGACTTTTATCTGATATCACAATCAACAGAAGTACCTTTGTGCAATGCACAAAATGATAACGAATATTGTTCCTCACTATAAATTAAATACGATAGCGTTAAACAAATTATGTGCTTAATTCTTTCTATGTTGACTAAATTTAACAGGCGGATCAACACTCTTCTTAAATTGAAGTCCTTATCCTTAAATTCCGAATCGTAATTTTCTAACTCGAACAATTACCTGACCTCAAATTTCCAACTCTAACCCTTAACAGTGAAGGGCTCGTGAGAATCGATTTGTGTCCTTATAAGGGTTTGAGAAGATGAATAATCTATATCAGCAAAGATGGTTCTACGATGCTTTTTTAGCTTACAAACAGAAAAACTAATAGGTTTACTAATCATACAAAAATTTGTTTGATTCGTGTAATATTGTTGTCAACTCCCCATAAACTCTGTTGTTTTTGGGTTGACTGACAACTGGTTATAATTCGTAACAGTTGTTCTGAGCTCATCACCAATATTATACTTATATCGAAAATTTATACTAAACCCATAGAGGGTTCAAAATATTGTGTTCGAATCCCATAAGAAAGAAGAAACGACTTCATTTCGTTGTTTAGCAACCTAAGCTGGACGGCTTTGTGAATGTCTTGTAAGATGCCACTACGACAAACAAAAGTGTCATCCCTTCTGTTTTTAAGGTGTTGGATACAGTCACTAAAAGTGATAAATATTTCCTTACACATGACCCCAAAGTACTTATCTTGTAGCGAGAGAAAACGATGTGTTTAAATTATCTGATGAACCCCGGTCGACTGAAATGATCAAGGCTTTATACTTCAGTGAGGTGCTGATAGTTATTTGTTTGAACGGCATTAGTGTCAAGCACAAAATGTGTCCGAAACATCGCATCTCATATTTTTGAGAGACTTTATCACGCCCATAGATACATTGTGAAACCTCAGTATAGTACGAGTAGATATCTCTGGGGACCAATCAGTAGTTGAAAACAATATATTATTGCACTAGTTTCATGTATTGAGTGAATTACACATTTGGCAAATAAAAAAATCCTCCACAATAATAATATGAGTCGACACAAAATTTACGTAATTTCAGTTGATATCATGTTAGCTAAATAAAGTATATCTCCTACGATAGTTCCCTTAAGTTGGTCGGACTAAATTTTCCACCTCACCAATATTATCTGCATGTTAGAATTTAAGAAAGTCTAATAAAATCGGAAATTTAAATCTAGATTTCGATTAATATACGTGTCTGCACCATAAGTGATGATAAACCACCATAAATAACAAGGCGAGACTTTGTCGTATCATTATTAAGTTTGGTTGATGAACATTAATAATAATAAAGTATACCTATGACTATGACATCCCGAACACATACGTTGAGTTGAGAACATGAAATTCAACGTAGAAGAACCAAAACACTTCAGACTGTACAACCAATACCCGCCTCGTAACTGTTATCCATTAATCAGTAGAAGCTTCACAGTGCCCAGCTTAATACATAGTCCAAATTAAGCTACTGAATGTTAATTTAAGTCATTTTAATAAACGTGGACACAACTAGTAGAGTTTGTGAGGAGTGTTATAAACACTAGTAAATATGCACTCCTGTTTTGCCAAAACCCCATACCAAACTACACTGGTTTTACAACCCTGGCTCTCTGTCAAATGTTTGGTCATACTACTTTTGACTACCTTAAAGTATGCTATCTAGAGATTTTTATTTTATTTTATTTGAACACATAAATATTGGTAAAAAAGGGCACCAAATATATATGCACCATACAAAACAATGAGAATTCGAAGAGAAAAAAAAACAATAACGAACAGATTAGTGTAAGGTAGTGTAATGATAGTAATTAATAGTAATAATGAGGGAAACGGAAATGTACAACCAGGAAGAATTCTTTCAGTTAGAGAAGATACAACCACTTTTTATGAAAAAAGTAAAAGAAGATTACAGCACGATCGCCACTGGCTTCTATTCTGAGCCATATATGATAACGTCTCTAGCCGTGTTGCACCATCTCTCAGACCCCAGCCAGGGAGTCGAGAAGGACCAACAGAAACCAACCCTTTGCAGCTGTCTTTCATACCACAACACCATGTCATACACTGACCACCTTTCCGCTTTTCCAACCGGTCCAGGTGTCGGCAAGTAATGCACGATATGGAATTCTCCTGGATGACATTCGTAAGACTTGTTCCAGCCATCAAAGTCGCTGTTTCAGGATGATGACATCAATTGAATTATCGTCGCTACGCCCGAACACATGATGCCGAACCTCTGCATTACTAACATGGTGTTGCCACTGGATATCAGCAATACTTCGGAGACAACGATGATCGAACACAGGGTTGTCTAACATCTTCAACTCGGGGACGCTAGGCTTCATAGGCATCGGGCAGAACTGCTCTCACCGACGCGTTGTAGGTCCGACCTTTTACAGCCAGACTAACATCACAAAGGCGCCAAAGATGGCCCAGATTGACAAAAGCCGCTCTGGCTTTCAATATACGTGCTCTTATGCTGCTACCTAGATACACGAACTTCTCGACTACTTCTATCTGCTCACCATCCAGGGTGAGTACAGGATGAGAATTCTGCCAGTCTTCTAGAAGTACTTTGCATTTCGAAGGTGCAAAGCACATACCATACCTACGGACACTGATTGCTAACTGATTAAGTGCGGATTGCATGGCTTTGGCATTATCGCACAGTAAGACAATATCATCCACATACTCAAGGTCGAGAAGTCTTTCTCCAGTAAACAGATCCACACCGCCATTACTTACATCCATCAGAGCTGTTTCTAGAACGTGATCCATAGCAATGTTGAGGAGGGATGGTGAGATTAAGCAATTCTGCCTAACCCCACTGCTTGAGTGGAACAATGGAGAGAGGTGGTTGTATGCCCTCACTCTGCCTGAGGTGTTTGCATATAGAGCCTTTAGGATGTTGATAAACTTCTCAGGCACACCCTTCTTCAATAGACAATCCCAGAGAACAGTCCTGTCCAACGAATCGAAGGCAGCCCTAATGTCAAGAAGCATTATGATTGTTGGCCTGTGATAAGTATGACGGTGTTCTAACATTTGGCGGAGGGTGAAGATATGATCAATACATCCTCGACCAGAACGAAAACCAGCCTGCTACCTGCGAGCTAATCGTTCTCGGTTTTTGAACAACCTACGAAGTATGGTAGAAGCCAACAGTTCGGATGCGATCGGAGGTAGAATTATCCCCCGATAGTTGTTGCAGAACCCTGCTTAAAGATAGAAATAACTATCGACTCATTCCATGACGTTGGTACACTCTCTAGCTCCCAGACCTTTCTAAACAACGTTGCAGTTCCTTAACCAGAAAGTCACTATCATCTTTAAAATGGGGCAGGAGGTTAGTCATCTGAACCTGGTGATTTGTAGCGCTTCAAGATTTGGGGTTCTTTGAGGACTCCGGCCTTGTTAGGTGGATCAGTCGTCACAGGGTATGGAGAGCAGAGCAGTTTGATCAATTTTGCCGCAGCAACAGATCAGCTGAACTGTCTCTCGAAAAACTCTGCCCATCGTCCAGGACGTCGGTGGACGCTAGTGATTGGCATCCCGTCATCTTCACAGATTGTTTCGCTCACACCAGACTTTTTGCTGCCAGTGGCTCGGAAGAGCTTCCGGCAGTTACCAGATGCAGCTGCTGCTCCCAACTAATTGTCACGCTCCGACCACCAGGCTTCTCGGTCCTTACGCAAGCTTTGCCTAATTTAATTGCGTAACAGTCTTCGTTCATGGTCAATTTCACGGTCACTCGGAGTATACCGTCGGGTTTCAGTGAGTTGTAAGGAGCCTGAAGAAACCCAGTGCTTATAAGGGTGAAGTTTCGCGAATTCACAAGCGACTTAAATCGCCATTTTCATGGCGTCATGCGATTGCAACCAGTGCTCATCTATACTTTCTGATGGTATGGTAGCTAACCTTGGACCTAGCTCGGTTTGATATATAGTTGCAACATAAGCCGCAACCAACTTGCTGACATCAATCTGTTGGTGGCGGTCACTTCGTTGTCCATTGAAAAGTAAGGTGAGATTGGCGCAGACCAGGGCATGATCGGAGTCCAAATAGATACTCCAAAAGGAGCAGCAGTCTTGTACACAACCACGCCAGGTGGCACATCGGCGATGACTGTGCCGGAAGTTAGTGCTAGCCAGAAACAGGTTGTGGTCTGTGCACAGTTTCAGTAGACGGTCCCCGTTATCTGTCCTGCGACCAACAATTCCCCATCGGCCACCTAAACGACTCTCTTCTGTGCCTAGACGCCCGACCTGAGCATTCAAGTCTCTGACTAGCACTACAATATCTGTCGAACGCACTTTCTGAAGAAGAACAGTTAACTGGTGGTGGAATTCATCCTTGATTGCATCCAGGCTGCAATCTGTCGGAGCGTAGGCGGAGATAACGAAAAGATATCGTTTCTCACACCAATTTCTTCGCACTTTGATGAAACTTTGTAGTGTAACAGCACATGACCAACTGTTAATGGGGATCCAATTGATTAGTGCTGCTTCAGCCCTAGTGCTTAGTGCGACACCGACACCAGCAAGACCATACGAAAATGCCACAGGATCCCCGGGCAAACATATGAGAAACAAGCTTTTCGAAACGACAGATGGAGAATGGGTCTGTGGTACCTCACTAGAGTATTGAATACGGGTCTGTGATAGGTAACAGACGTCAATATTAAGTCTTTCCAAGGACATAGCCATCCCTATCTTTTGTCCGACGTGCATAATTATGCAAACGTTGGAGGCAGTCAGTTTGAATGCTGCACGTGGTTTCAGAAAAACTGCTACAGTATTCCTATTTGGTGGTGGCATACAATTTTCAACCAGGCAGTGACTCGAAAACGTTTAGATAGAACCGAGTTTCCACTATAAGAGAGCTGCTGTATAAGTCGAAAAATGAGAATACACAAAGTGGTAATAAAGGGGAGTGAATAAGTGACCTAGTAAATAATAATAATAATAATAATAATAATAATAATAATAATAATAATAATAATAATAATGTGAATTGTTTGACTGTAAATCGAAGCGAGAATAGAGTTTTCAGTAAATATCATTTCCATTATATTTGTGTGTGGGCTGTGATACTGCCCGGGTGCCCAGACCGAAGCAGGTAAAGTACTGAGCCCGACGTGAAGAAAAAAATAGATTATTAAGGTGTAGTGATTAATCTTATCAACTGTTTGTTTAGTGGTGAGAACCATGAAAATTCTAGTACTTGTTACCGAATTTTACCAATGGACCAATAACTCATTGATTCCTGACCGCCCTAATAAGGTTGACACTTGAGTACGTAAATATATACTTGCTGAATAAGTTACGCTATAATATGTTCAAAACAACTCGTAGAACGTCGCTTATGAGATGCTTAGATGTAGTGTATTAAATATATCAACATTAAAATAAATGTTGAGAGCATGACAAGGACGATAAGCTTTATTACTTTTTAAAGCATCACATTCTTTAAATTAACGTGGTACAAGAAATTTACAACTATACTAATCTCGAATTTTAAACTGATTATATTCAAAATGCTACTCTGTGCTTTAAATTTCATTGGAACGTATGAAAATATAACTTACCATATTATCAATGGCACTCATGGCATCTTCAACTTCTTCGAATTCAACAAAAGCGAAACCTCTGTGTTTTTCTAACAGGAAATGAAAACAGAATGACATTTACCAGTTTGATAGTCCATGGGCATATTAATACTAACTATGTCTCCAAAAGGGATAAACGCCGCACGAACAAGAGGTACATCAACTTGCTCTGATAGTCCCCCTATCAAAAATTAACAATAATAGCTAAATAAATGAGAGCCTACCAACATATATAACACGCTTATTGACTGGATTGTATGAACCCGCAGGGAGCTGAAGGGGTGGTAATTCAGCCTAGAATAATGAAAAGTTATTTAAAGAAGTGAGTGAATCCGAGATTTGAAATCAAGAAGTCAAAGTACAACCAATTTTTATTTCAAAAAATCAGCATAATTTACAAGAAAATCACCAAGGAAGCTGCATAGGTTGTGGATTATGCATATAACATATTATAAGTGCGCTGATAGACAACCTGAAAATGCCACCTATTAGTAACGAAAAGGAACATAATTACATGAAGCCACTGATCAGCTGTTTTGTATCTTCCCCAGTTCTTGAGTTGGCATACGTTATGAAAGCACAAACAACGGCCAACCAAGCAGCAAACTTCATCTACTAGCATAGACTTTTCATATTTTCAACTTACTTCAAACAACAGTCCACACATGCTTAAGACTATTCCGAAAAAATTAAGATAGTCTATAGTTTGGTCTAGTGGAGGGGCATCCTGTGATAATGGGACGAATCTTAATGGTTTAATAAATGATCATAAAGACATACCTTCGAAGTTTATTGGGTCTCCTAGGATCTGACGCGGCTAACATATCTGGATTTTAGAATAGAAATACTTTTTACAAAGATATAAAATGTTGCAGTACAAAGAATAAACAGTTTCTGAAATGTAGTTATTTTAACACATAGATAATGGTACAAAGAGGCACCAAATACATATACGCCACACAAATCTCATTCGACATGTGTGAGGGCTGTGATACTACCCGGGTGCCCAAACCGAAGCAGGTGGTTTTCTTAGGGGGCCACTCCCCGAGCCTTTGACTTAAAGGTCTGACCCACAAGGCACTGGAGCATCGTCAGGAGATGCAGTCCAATGGAAGCCGGTGACCAACAATTGGTTCATACTACATTTGTTCCCGCAGGATACTGGAGCCCATATGCACCATTGCTTTGGAATCCGGTTAAAGCGCCGGACATTCGCTTTTCGTCCTCTCAATTTCGTAAACAACACCCCCGTCACGAGAAGGCAGTGAGTAGGACTTCCCTGGCAGAGGCTATATACGCATGGCCATGTGAGAGCATTTCGAGAGGGAGAGAGGACTCTCCCCACTCTCGGCCCTACCAGGGCATTTGGGGGCTTTGAAATATAGTACTATATAATAAAAAGACTGTAAATGTATCAAGCAGGTTAAAATGATGTTCTAGATGTATTAAAAGTGGCAAATTAGAAGAAACTTTGTGGAGCCACAAAGGTAGAACGATTTGGAAAATATTAAACTAAACTTCTACGCAATTACCATGATGCGATAGTCATTAAATGTTGTTTTTGAGTTGCCTATATTCTAAAATTGTTTTAAAGCGTTTCTCGTAAACCCTGAACCAAAGTCCTCCGAACGATTTCATAGCTCGTCGTTATATACATTTAAGAATATTCCTATCTTCCTATAGTGCAGAAAAGTTTCATAATCCAACTGGATCTGCATAAAAATGCCAAAAATAAATGAGTTTTACCGTCAAATTGTTCGAAAATGCACTTCGATGTTGTTAATTCAAGGCTGGTTTTAACGGCACTTTCGTCATAGCATATCCAATATCGCTGCGACAAGTTAGTGTAAATCAGCTGATTTCTGTGAAATCACTACTCGGTGTTAAGGTATGGTTTCCAGACCTTTGGTATCCCCTGATGTGTTCTAACCACATGGTTGCACTAACCGAAATGAATTCGATGATAATTTGGAGGTTGATGTATCGAATCATTATGATTCATCATGCCCAACGTAAAACCTGGCATGATTCATTCGCCATATTACAATTCAGCGACAAAACTACTTCAAAAACACTTGAGTAGTAGAAGCAGGAGCAGTAATAATACTAGCAGAAAAGTTAGGTACAGAAAGATAAAAAAAGTAGAATGAGATATTGGGATTCAAGTTTTAAAAGAAGACAAGGATTGAATGCACTACCATTGTGAACGATTGAGTCGTGTTACCCTCGAGTATAAATGAATGTGTTTGTCTTAGAGCAGTGAAGATGCTAGAACCAACAGCCATCACGTTACAAAGAGGCAAACTAGTTTCTTGTAACACGAAGGATTTCAAAACTAAAAAATAAAGGAGTAGAGGTACCAAAGCAAACCAGTCAGCTGAACTAGTGATTAAGGTAAGTATAAAAATATGTGAACGGAGTATAAAAAGGGATGTAAAGAGGTCAAGTGGTATAGGGTGAGTACTAACAACAATAATCAGTAATAATAATTACGGATCAAGTGCAAAATATGGTACATGAACGCTAATGAGTGCGAAACATCCATCCTCATCTTGCCAAACGTTGTTCCACGCGAAAGACGGCTAACCGTTAGTATGTGCATATTTACAAAGTTTTCTCTCGAGATGCTTCACTGATGGCTGTTGTCATACCCTTTGGAAGAAAGTCCCATGTAGCGCCGACCGGTAATGAGAAGCGTGATCTTGTCTGGATGTTCGCTCTTTCATGTGTTATTCGTCTTGGGTTCCTTTAGAAAGTACAAAGGTGTTTCAAGAGGGATATTTCTATTTGTGAGATCCAGAATGCTTCGTACGTTACACTCACCAGGTCGCCTACCAGTATTTAACCTAGACAGCACAACCCCAGGTTGTGAAGTTGGTCCCAACTTTTTGTCACTTAAACTTACACATAACGCCGCTGCATGCCATCGTACTCACTTCAGTCAATTCATTTTCTCCATGATGAAAAAGGGTGCAACAATTCTGCGTGTTTCATGATGTGGGAGGATGTAGGCCATGAATGGAGCCCAAGAGAGCCCACGAGTCGGCACCTTTACCTGCCTTCAAATGAGGTGGAGTAACGAATGATTTGGTTGCATTGCGCTGACAGTTTCTGGCGTTCAGACTTTCTGTTAGCAACAGACTAAGGTCGCTCTCTATTAAGTTTCTAGAGACGATGACTTCAAAGGGAGTAACTAGCCTGTCTTTGAAACGGGCATCGTTTGGCATTTTTGAATGACTAAGAACATAACCATTCCTCGATTAACTAGGCTTCCAGAGGCTAATTATCCGAGTTATATGTGTAGTTTGCAAAACAGCAGTAATACATTACAATTTAGACCGACAGATAACGACAGATGTTGTAAAATGGTTAAAACAAATCCAAAAGTACAAATAATTAACAGCCAAGACCAAACATTGGTGATAATATTCTATGTAACGACAAGTTATAGACCTCACTCGTATATAACTTACTACAGTCCGTGGACTACAATTGGAGATGCACAACTGTAACGTGAACTTTCAATAGTCCCCGCTACCCAAATGGTTCAAATTGTTGAGGATGGAATAGAAGAAGCTTTCGCTTAACGGGCTTCCGTGACTAGTAACAATGGATAATCAACACCTCCAGGCAGGAACCTAAGTATATTAACGATAAAAGAAGAAAAAGAAATTTGTAAATCATAGTAAGATATTATCCTTAGCCCTTAAGAATAGATCAAGATTCCTCTTAAAGGACTACTGGGAATTCACTTGGAATAGCTTAGACTGCGGCGAATTCCAGCATTTTACAGCTATTAGGGAGTAAAATTTGTGTCTACAGTCCGCTGTGTTATGTCGTGTCTCTAGTTTCTGGGTGTTAACCCATAGGTTTGTGTTGGAGCTAAACCTAAGAGGATATCCATGTGTTAAGGATGCTGTAAGCCAAAAGAAGGTCACCGAACTTATTTCGTGGCTCGCCGTTGGACATGTTTCAGAGTGAGGGAGGAAACACTGTTTCCGTACTCTAAATGAAGACGAATGACACTGTTGAAGACTATGTGGAAATGTCTCCCGTCAAACTGGCCAAAAATGCGCTTCAATGTTACCAGTGCAAGGTTTGCTCGAAAAGTATTTTTGTCACAGCGTAAGACTTCAAATTTTAAGGTACTAGCACTTCTAACTCTTTTGCAACTTGGGATACTTCTTGAGAGGAGTTTCCTAAGTTGTAACTGTAGTCTGCAACATGTCTCAGATGGACTACTTTACATTTCAAAGTGTTAAAGGTGAGTCCGTTGTCATCTGCCCAACTTTGAAGTCGAGTCAGATCCTCCTGAAGTGAGGGCATATCTTCTTGATTGCGTACCTCTCCAAAGTTTCGCATGACAAGCAAAATGTAGTGAGTATGTCGATACCTGACGTGGGAGATCGTTTATATAAATCAAGAGATGAAAAGTCTCAGTACTGAACCCTTGTGGACTCCACTAGGACATTCCATAGTCTGACAGAACTTGAAGCTAACCCTGACGATAAAATGTCGATTTTTTAGAGCCAATCAATCAAATGTGACTTGATTCCTAGTCTTTTGAGCCTATTGATAAGACATATATGGTTGACCTTATCAAAAGCTTTTAAGAAGTCATGTCAAACGACGTCAAACTTCTCCTTGTGGTCAAGGATGGTTGTCCATTTGTCCACTGTAGTCAACAGGCTGCTTATACAAGAATGACCCTTTCTGAAACCATGCTGTTGAGGTGAAAAGAAGTTTCAGAATAATAAATTGTCGCTTATGCCTTCGCATATCGGGGACTGCATAATTTTTGAAGGTATAGCGAGAAGAGCCACTGGTTGGTAGCTGGAAGTTTCTCTGAGTTGAGCTCCTTTGAAGATTGTTGTGATGTGAGCCATCTTCCAAATTTCCGGCAATGTGCCTCGGCTTAGCAGATGTGAGGACATCACGCTAAGAGGTGTTACCAGGATTGAAGCTGCTTCCCTCAGTATAGGAGAATGAACCACATCCAAACCACGAGAAGTGTCGTTTTTGTAGATTTTAAGGACCATTTGGAGAACAGACTGCTTTGTAGCACATAAGACCGTGTGCAGTAAGAAATCCCGATGAGCATCCACATCAAGTTGAGGGTGAATTTCCCAATCCACCTATTGCAAATTGTCCTGCAAAGCTGACACGTTCAACAACTTGAAAATCCAGCCCCTGTTCTTGGTGGGATGTCTAAGCTCAGTTTTGCTTATAAAACTAAAGGCTATGACGGCGTGATTTCTTCTCCCCAGGTGTATCAAGATTGAGTTGTTATTCGAGAATTATTCGCTTGTTAATACATAGTCTAAGCGTGGCGACGTCTGATTGTTTCTCCAACGAGTTGCCAGCCCCACATTTTTGAATAACCCCAGATTCTCAATGAGGTCGAAGAACCGAGATTCAGTAGAGTTTCCACGTCCAATAAACGTATGTTCCGCAAAATTGTCTTTAGGAAGACTGAAGTCCCCTAGAATCAGGATATGAGTGAATCCGAGGAGAGTGGAGCGGGATAATCCTCCCAGCATACGATTATCGTACTCGATGTCAGCAGTGAGCTTCCTGTGTACGACTCCAACTGGATAACATCAGAACTTTCTGTGAACTCATAAAATGTGAGTATCTAACAGATTTCCAGTTACTTGTTTCAGCTACTCATATTGCCCTCTCTCTCTTTTTATTTTGTAGGCAAGAGTTTCGCTGAGGACGCCGAAGAATACGAATTTACTCTTCGTTCATACGTACTTCATTCTTTTGTTCTGAATTAGGACCTTAGGTTGAACTTCATAGACCTTAACTCTTTCATAATTCCTTGATCTCGTGTTTAGTCTTCAGTGGTAAGGATAGAAAGTCTGTCGACCTATATTAATCCTTGCAATTCTTAACACTGTCAAGGTCTACTATAGCTTTAAATGTATCGACAGAAGGAGCTGATATTAGTACTCTGGTGGAACATTCTAGTAATTCACTTTTCAGTGATAGAATCGGAACTGTAGATGTAAACTGGTTGGTGTCGTTTAGGTCATAATTTCTATTTTTATCAGGGAGTGACATACTTGAGGTGTTATATAATAGTTTTACAACGTACTAGATAACTAGTTTTGACAAGTGAATAGCCAAACTAGTTCGATTTTCTGCTTGAATTAATTTCGGGTTTTGTTTCTTAACGGGATTAAAGTGGATATTTGGCGTAACGCGTGTAACCAGCGTTTACCGAAGTTTAGGAGTGATTCAGAATAGCATCACACAAGTTGTAATCGGTGAACAGGTAGAATTATGGTTCACTACTGTATTAGTACTGCTCTAATAATAGACCCAATCCTAAAATCGTAGATTTTTCATGGTGTAACTACCTAATATATAAGATCTTACGTTGATGTCACATGATTTTTACCCCTACTCATTCGTATTGTAACAATCATCAGTATATGATGAACACGTCTGGACTTGAGATAAACAATATATTTAATATAGATGAAAGACTGTTGCATAAGTAGGATCACACTTGCAAAGCTGAGCCACGCCATTCGACCAACTCGAACTCAATCGATTCCTTCATCCCGCCTTCTCCATGGTTGGCTTTTTATCCGTGTGAAATGTTGAATATCTATTTTCCCAGTTGTCTCGTGTTCAGCTTTGAGGTTTGTGTGGTTAGGGCGGAATGTCCCTACAAATAATCGAGAGTGAAGGATACGAAATGTCAGCAGAACAGTATAATAAATTATTTAATTCGCGGGTTCTCGCGCACGTGCTGTGTGTTGTTGGGCAATTTTTGTCGTCTTCTCTTCCTTGGACAAAATTCTTACTGTCTTACGCCAATTTTTGCAATGTTTACGCTTTTTATAGGAATTTTGTATCAGTAAGTAATAGTATACATAGTTGTTCAGGATTTGAGTGAAAGCTATGTCAACTTTCATGTGTTTATTTGTATCATTATAAACTCGTGCAAGTGAAATGAATTGTTTGTCAAGTTGGAGATAAAGTGTTTTCAGATTTTCAACGAAAATGGGCTTTTAAAGCCTTTTAAATATGACCTATCACCGTAAAGGATGTTGATGAACAAGGATGTCTGGTAGTTGTTTAGTAAATTCAGGCTAAGGCGATTCTGTGTTAATCTATTTCTAAACATTATACGAGTTCCCACCATACTACCATAAGCAATTACGATCGGAACAACTGAATCATTTTTTAATAGAACTGACGTTTTAATGTGTAACTTATCTGCGAAAGAAAAATTATGTGAGCGATAATTGTCACTAGTAACGTTTTCTGCCAGCTTTACGAACACATACAGAAAATATGTATAATAGCAGTAAGTTTCACAGTAATTAGTCACATATTCCACTTTTGTAAAGTGTTTGAAACCATGACCAAAATATATTCAAGGATTTAATGTATATGGATGAAGAATATTTATATTGTGCATTCCAGCTATTTCATATTGTTCATAAACCGTGAATTAATGTCAGTATTATGAACGTCGTAACTGAATCTTTCTCAAATTTCATTGTCATACTTGAAGTCAGTATATTGGCTTACTTAGTACCTACACTTTTCGCAAGCACTAAATGGCTAGGTGAAATTCTTGGACGCTTGAAAAAAGGCATTATTTGTAGCAATTAAGACACTTGTAACTACATTTTATAAGTTACTATACCATTTACATACTGAATTCGATACGCGAAACGAAGGTTTACCATTTGTTTCATTATTGACTTGTTGTTTTCACAATTGCACTGGAAACAATGCTCTTGTGTTATTACATGAGGTATTTGTGTCGTCTACCTTCCATTGAGTTCTTTTGTTTTAGAATATAATTAACTGTGCGATTATACTTTCTAATTGATTGAATGCACTATTAGAGTTTTTCTTCATTAGAATGTCTGAAAAATGTGACGGAAATAATTCTGAACTGTCACAAATGTTCAATAGTTGCACTCACAAGTGCTTGTTTCTACTTCTAGAAGTCTTCGGCAGTAAACCATGAACATTCTTTCACTGTTTTCATGTTCCACAGACAACCCAAATTCTTCAGAAACAGTTTAACTCTGTTCTGTGCAAAAGAAGTAGGTTGGTCAACAAGTGTAAATACTCGATTCAGCCTGCTTAGGCTATTACCCTATTTATATTCCACTGCTAGTCGTCCACATCAGAAACCAGATCAACAGGACTCGGCAGGTACTCCAAATGTTATTACTTGAATTCAGAACCGTAAAACGCCGATGGTATGTGGTGAATGTGAATTAATTAAGTAACAGGGCGTTTGTGTAAAACATGGATAAATACTGAAACTAAATTTGCTTTTAACTCATACCATAGTCTTAAAGTGTTTCCCGAACTCTGTTCAGATTTCACCCGATAAACCTTTACAAGTTACATTTATTCGTAACTGTTTGGTTTACTTGAATGCAGCTTGTAACGGTGTTGGTTCCTAATCACACGGTTCTCGAGGCCGAATATACGATAACTAAGGAGATTCACATT